CCCCGGCCTTACCCGACGAGTTACGTAAGTGCCCCAGGCGGGGAGAAAACTACGGTCCAGGTTCATGTACAAAGTAGTTATGTTTACCTGTATACGGGATTGTGTTGTAATTTTACATGTGACGATTAAGTTTGTTTAAAAACACAGAAAACACAATTTCTAAATATAAGAATGTATAGACAGAAAGATAATTATATAAGTTTATAGATGTTGCTAGAATATAGAAACATACGTAAACATCAAGTTTATATGTTTAAACACAAAACCGTATAAATTGTTAAGGCATTCCTCAATTTACACCAACCACGATTGTTATCGCACAGCGTCCGTCCATCGTGCGCACAGATGTGCGCAAGCAATGATCGTCCAACTTTTTATCGTTCGCCCATCGTGCACACACCGTTCACACACCGTGCGCACACCGCACAACGTGTAACGTTGTGCGATCCCACAACTGTATAATCACCACATGTATTATGACTGGTAAGTATAATCATCACATGTCAACTGATATTAAAGCCAAAGTTTCAGAATGCTTCCTGTTATAAGATTCCATTCACATATACACATGTACAGGGGAATATTCGATCCAATAACATATAACCACAGGTAGCAGATTCCAGGCTGAATAGAAAATCAAAGTATTCTTGTTGAAGGAAAACAAACATCATTTGGCATAGTCAACTAACATTTGAACGTTTGTTAGACATTTAGCTTTCATAACTGAGAGTTTGTAATACCCTTTGGTAAGAAAATATCACATTGGAAAAATGTACCATTACATAAGTTCAAACAGCGAGGTGTAATTTGGAAGTTGACACATCAGAGTTTGATCATTTGCCAGGCAATATGACAATAACTGATGCGCAGAATTCTTTTATATACTTTGTGCGACAGGTAATGAATATTTGATTAAATGTTGAAATCCTCACCCCTGATTGGTCCCAGTGCTGCATCTTTTGCCAAGGCATTGAGGTCACTGCCCGAGTACCCTTCTGTTAACCTGTCAACACCAACCATCTCAGTATAACTCGCCTTACAAGAAACATCTCTACACTGCATTAGCTGTAACCATGCATTAATCTGTCAATTCATTATTATTTAATTTGTGAGAACCATTTCTTCAACTGTCAACAGCATCATCTTTGCATATATGTGTCAATAATTAAAACAATGAAAATGATTATTTATGGTAAAAATTTGCTATCATCAAACTGTGGACAAAAATTGAACACAAACACTTTTGACCTGCAGATTGAACTTTACCTTGCCACCTCGGACAGTTCACCACTGGTCAGTGGGTTATTGTGCTTGGCCAGTAACTGAGTCAGCATGGACTTCCTGGTCTCCTTCCGCGGCATGTTCACATACACTCTCTTGGCAAACCGTCTGTAAAGGCAAACACTCCACATCATTTGTCTATCCTTCCACCATTTGTCTAACCCTTCACATCATTTGTCTTACCCTCCACATCATTTGCCTAACCCTCCACATCATTTGTCTTACCCTCCACATCATTTGTCTAACCCTCCACATCATTTGTCTAACCCTCCACATAATTTGTCTAACCTTCCAAATCATTTGTCTAACCTTCCACCATTTGTCTAACCTTCCACATCATTTGTCTAACCCTCCACATCACTTGTCTTATCCTTCACATTATTTGTCTAACCCTCCTCATCTTTATAACCCTCCACATCATTTGTCTAACCTTCCACATCATTTGTCTAACCCTCCACATCATTTGTCTAACCTTCCACATCATTTGTCTAACCCTCCACATCATTTGTCTAACCTTCCACATCATTTGTCTAACCTTCCACATCATCTGTCTAACCCTCCACATCATTTGTCTAACCTTCCACATCATTTGTCTAGCCTTCCATATCATCTGTCTAACCCTCCACATCATTTGTCTAACCTTCCACATCATTTGTCTAACCTTCCACATCATTTGTCTAACCTTCCACCATTTGTCTAACCTTCCACATCATTTGTCTAACCCTCCACATCATTTGTCTAACCCTCCACATCATTTGTCTAACCTTTCACATCATTTGTCTAACCCTCCACATCATCTGTCTAACCCTCCACATCATTTGTCTAACCTTCCACATCATTTGTCTAACCCTCCACATCATTTGTCTAACCTTCCACATCATTTGTCTAACCCTCCACATCATTTGTCTAACCTTCCACATCATTTGTCTAACCTTCCACATCATTTGTCTAACCCTCCACATCATTTGTCTAACCTTCCACATCATTTGTCTAACCCTCCACATCATTTGTCTAACCTTCCACATCATTTGTCTAACCCTCCACATCATTTGTCTAACCTTCCACATCATTTGTCTAACCCTCCACATCATTTGTCTAACCTTCCACATCATTTGTCTAACCCTCCACATCATTTGTCTAACCTTCCACATCATTTGTCTAACCCTCCACATCATTTGTCTAACCTTCCACATCATTTGTCTAACCCTCCACATCATTTGTCTAACCTTCCACATCATTTGTCTAACCCTCCACATCATTTGTCTAACCTTCCACATCATTTGTCTAACCTTCCACATCATCTGTCTAACCCTCCACATCATTTGTCTAACCTTCCACATCATTTGTCTAGCCTTCCATATCATCTGTCTAACCCTCCACATCATTTGTCTAACCTTCCACATCATTTGTCTAACCTTCCACATCATTTGTCTAACCCTCCACATCATTTGTCTAACCTTCCACATCATTTGTCTAACCTTCCACATCATTTGTCTAACCCTCCACATCATTTGTCTAACCTTCCACATCATTTGTCTAACCCTCCACATCATTTGTCTAACCTTCCACATCATTTGTCTAACCTTCCACCATTTGTCTAACCTTCCACATCATTTGTCTAACCCTCCACATCATTTGTCTAACCCTCCACATCATTTGTCTAACCCTCCACATCATTTGTCTAACCCTCCACATCATTTGTCTAACCCTCCACATCATTTGTCTAACCCTCCACATCATTTGTCTAACCCTCCACATCATTTGTCTAACCCTCCACATCATTTGTCTAACCCTCCACATCATTTGTCTAACCCTCCACATCATTTGTCTAACCCTCCACATCATTTGTCTAACCCTCCACATCATTTGTCTAACCCTCCACATCATTTGTCTAACCCTCCACATCATTTGTCTAACCCTCCACATCATTTGTCTAACCCTCCACATCATTTGTCTAACCCTCCACATCATTTGTCTAACCCTCCACATCATTTGTCTAACCCTCCACATCATTTGTCTAACCCTCCACATCATTTGTCTAACCCTCCACATCATTTGTCTAACCCTCCACATCATTTGTCTAACCCTCCACATCATTTGTCTAACCCTCCACATCATTTGTCTAACCCTCCACATCATTTGTCTAACCCTCCACATCATTTGTCTAACCCTCCACATCATTTGTCTAACCCTCCACATCATTTGTCTAACCCTCCACATCATTTGTCTAACCCTCCACATCATTTGTCTAACCCTCCACATCATTTGTCTAACCCTCCACATCATTTGTCTAACCCTCCACATCATTTGTCTAACCCTCCACATCATTTGTCTAACCCTCCACATCATTTGTCTAACCCTCCACATCATTTGTCTAACCCTCCACATCATTTGTCTAACCCTCCACATCATTTGTCTAACCCTCCACATCATTTGTCTAACCCTCCACATCATTTGTCTAACCCTCCACATCATTTGTCTAACCTTCCACATCATTTGTCTATCCTTCCACCATTTGTCTAACCTTCCACATCATTTGTCTAACCCTCCACATCATTTGTCTAACCCTCCACATCATTTGTCTAACCTTCCACATCATTTGTCTAACCTTCCACCATTTGTCTAACCTTCCACATCATTTGTCTAACCCTCCACATCATTTGTCTAACCCTCCACATCATTTGTCTAACCCTCCACATCATTTGTCTTACCCGTCACATCATTTGTTCAACCTTCCACATCATTTGTATAACCCTTCACATCATTTGTCTAACCTTCCACATCATTTGTCTAACCCTCCACATCATTTGTCTAACCTTCCACATCATTTGTCTAACCCTCCACATCATTTGTCTAACCTTCCACATCATTTGTCTAACCCTCCACATCATTTGTCTAACCTTCCACATCATTTGTCTAACCCTCCACATCATTTGTCTAACCCTCCACATCATTTGTCTAACCTTCCACATCATTTGTCTAACCTTCCACATCATTTGTCTCATTTGTATAACCCTCCACATCATTTGTCTAACCTTCCACATCATTTGTCTAACCCTCCACATCATTTGTCTAACCCTCCACATCATTTGTCTAACCTTTCACATCATTTGTCTAACCTTCAACATCATTTGTCTATCCTTCCACCATTTGTCTAACCTTCCACATCATTTGTCTAACCATCCACATCATTTGTCTAACCCTTCACATCATTTGTCTAACCCTCCACATCATTTGTCATAGGTGTAAGGATTTGTAGGACTCCAGTTTTTTGTGAAGTTTGTGAATTACAGGCCAATGGTATTTACAATACAAGGAGTAAAGTCTACTTCCAAAGGTTACAATGTGCATTCAGATGAATATCTTCCCAAGTTGTTTATGTCATACAATATATTTATCTAGCAAGTTTGCAGGTACAATAAAATTCATTTGAATGGTTTATTTTAAAGACCATATACCCTAGCACATCAGCATTTAGCTCATGGAGTATTCATGCTACTGTGTAAGAGAATACAATGTAGTGTGTAAGACTATATACCTGAGAACAGCGTCGTCCAGTTCCTGTGGTCTGTTTGTGGCCCCCATTATCAACACTCGGTCATCTGAACTCCCTGCCACCTGTCGAATTACAATCATTGTTCTGTCATTATCAAAGGGAAGTTACTCCCCTTGCAGTTTCCCTATCCTTCACTGCAGTTAGCATTTATATAGCCAATACCTACTGCCTGAAAGCACTTAGTGCTTTAACTGATTTTTATCAAAAAAACGTTCAGCCCTTCAGAAGTGTTGAAGGCATTGCCCGGACATGCATTACAATGATTGGCTTTTTGACCCGTTGCTGCCACCTTGACCATCTATCTATAAAGTTTCAGGAAAGTATATTAAGACATTCAGACATAGTGTTCCAGAACATATCACTGGTTACACAGATGGAGGGAAACACAGAATGTTATTATATACCTATGTAAATACCTACCCCATCAAACTGCACTAAAAACTCTGTTTTCAATCTTCGACTGGCATCATTTTCTCCCTCTCTTCTCTCACACAGCAAAGAATCAATTTCATCTACAACAGAAGGAGTATTTGTCAGTCTGCTAACTAAAACTTTAACAAGCAGAAGAATGGTATACTTTGCAACTTTAACATTTCCAATGGATTACAAATTTAGTTACTTCTACTGAGAAGTGTTATTTTGATATTTTATTTCTAACTATTATTTCAAATACTGAGAGGTTACCTTTAAACAGGTATTATTGTGATTACAACCACACTAACATATGCTTACAAGTTTAATCCTCAATGAAACTCTAACAAAAAACACTGTGGACATCATTTAACTGAAAGTATTATACAGGAAAATAAAATCTGAAGCACAAGTAACCCTTTTCAAAACATATCCAGAAGAGATTGTTATTTTCAAAATATTTAAATGTTGATTTCTTGATAGTGTTTTTACATTTTCGAGAGAAGTTATTAAATGACACTGCAACATAACTGGAGACGTAAAGTAAACCTACCCATAAACACAACAGAAGGCTGGAGTTCCCGGGCCAGGGTAAACATGGTCCTCACCAACTTCTCACCTTCCCCTACCTACAAAACCACAAGAACTCAGACCAGGTCCTCCATATATATACACACCAGCAATCAGGCACAGCAGCATAGCTGTTGTCAGTAAGACAAAAAGCTTGGTAATGTGAAACAAGAAGTCACATCCTACAGATTGTAATTCCTTTTATCAAACCAGGTAAACTTGAGCTTATTCATATATCATTAGTGCATGGATATAGGAAGAATATATAACATGAACGGCAATAACAATTTCAACCATTATAATATCAAGCCACTCTTCCCCTTTGATTGATGTATTGAAGCCTCTTGATAACTTGTAGATTGTTTCATTAATTTTGCTTAAGTACTAGTGACAGTTATATGTATGTTATTATCAAACACCAACCGTAGTCTTGATCAGTGTGAATTCTGCCTTACCCATTTAGACGTGAGACTTGAGGCACTAATGTTGAAGAAAGTAGCATTGGATTCATTGGCCACTGCCTTAGCCTGTAATATAGAAATACAGATCTTCACACATACATCAATAACTACTCAAACTGTCCTGTAATGTGTAATGTTCGGTGCCTAGACCTACAATAAACCCTGTCTAAGCAGAATTTCTGTTAGGAACAAACAGGTTTTAGTCCTGTAATGTGTTATGTTCGGTGCCTAGACCTACAAGAAACCCTGTCTAAACAGATTTTCTGTTAGGTACAAACAGGTTTTAGTCCTGTAATTTGTGATGTTCTGTGCCTAGACCTACAATAAACCCTGTCTAAACAGAATTTCTGTTAGGAACAAACAGGTTTTAGTCCTGTAATGTGTTATGTTCTGTGCCTAGACCTACAATAAACCCTGTCTAAACAGATTTTCTGTTAGGTACAAACAGGTTTTAGTCCTGTAATTTGTAATGTTCTGTGCCTAGACCTACAATAAACCCTGTCTAAACAGAATTTCTGTTAGGAACAAACAGGTGTTAGGACAACACAGTTCACTTGGCAGTGGGATTTAGTTGGATTTCATGTCTATACTGATTCCCAGAGATTATACTGGTGTACTTAATCATATAACTACCTGACTGATGTCTATATAAATGTATTACATGACTTTCTTTTGTAAACAAAACTTTACCCAATTTTGTGTAATGACATGGGGTTAAGACACTAGCAGTAAACTAACACAGCCAGAAATCATTTTCTTGGAATCATCTTGAAAACACTGGCATTGATTCCTAGGTTAAACAGTGTTTTTACCAGACATTAAAGTTGGGGGTAAAATAAAGGATAAATCCTGTACTCTGTCCCCTTTATATGGTAAGCCTCTAGCATTTTGAGGGTCAAAAGCCCTTTTAAGAGGTCATATACATACACATGTACCCTTATATGGGAGTTGACGGAAACTCTTTTTTTAAAAAACACACAGATTAACTTCAGCACTCACCAACATGGTTTTACCGTTCCCTGGAGGACCAAACAACAGAAGTCCTCTGGCTGGAGCCCGCAGACCAGTAAATAACTGAAACAGGCAAGTGAAAAAATCCCTTCAGATCTGAGAAACTGTGTGACCTTTTAATATATGAGGTTTTATATTACATCACCAGAATGTTCTATTTATACATTAATATGAGCTCGTACACATAAATATGATATACATGTACCTTGGTGCATGTACTTTAAAATTCAAAGTCTTCCTTGTCTTGTCAAAGCTTAAATTTATTGATAAAATGTTTGCCGAAAATACAGACAGTAAAATCTCAGTGGATAGTGATGGAGGTGAACATACCTCTGGTCTCAAGGCAGGTAGGATCACAATTTCATGTAGAGCTTGTTTTGCTGTGTCCTGACCAGCTATAAAATATACAAAAAATGTATGTTAACTCAGATTTATATATGCATGTTTTTTTCTCCTGATTCCTGATGGCCGCAGTGGCCAAGTGGTTAAGGCATCCGACATTCATCTACCACTAGCCCTCCACCACTGGGTCGAGGGTTCGAGACCTACATGGGGCAGTCGCCAGGTATTGGCCGTAGGTCGGTGGTTTTTCTCCGGAAACTCAGGCTTTCCTTTACCACTAAAACCTGACACGTCCTTAAATGACTATAGCTGTTAACAGGACTTAAAACACAAACAAACCAAATCAAATCTTGATTCCTAAATATTTTACACAAGAAGATACAAACTTTGCAAAGGATTATGGTCTGTGTAACACAATGGTGTGTCAGAAGGCTTACTGCAGAATTGCAAGTCAATGGTAATGTAATCAAACATGTACAGTTAGTCGGATAATACTTCAACAAACAGTTCCTAATTCTTATCAAAAGATCATGGTTGGTTCATGGAACCTCCATTCCTCCCATATGTAACATAGGCCTAATAAATTCACATCTGTCCGAACAGCTAATACTGACCGATGTCCGTGAACTGCACTGGAGGACCGTTGTCCACTATCTCATTAAAAATGGTCTCGGCCAGCTTCTTGTCAATGTTCTTCAATTTCAGGGAAGACAATTCCTTTCTTACAGGACGGCCCCCTGGGTTCTGTGTACAAAAGATATACCTGTTCAGACTTTGAAGAAACTTCTAAATTTGGTAAATATCCACAGATAAGGCTTATGTTTATATGCCTTTCTACACTTATCAAACTCAACAAATCTCTACCAAAAGGGTTTGTTAATGTTGCCTGCCAGTTACTATAGAACTTTGAAAAGATCTTATTGATCACGTACCTGCTGTGAGTGCTGCCTTTGGTGTGAGAACTTGCGTGCCGGGGAGGAAGTTGCAGAGGAAGACCCTCCCGTACTGGAGGGACGACTGTTACGAGGGAGGGTGTTACTCTTGTGCACTGCCAGGGGCTGCCTCATTGGTTTCCACATCTTACTGGACGCTGAACAAATAAGGTGAACATAAAAATCTACTGGACAAGTCAATGTCAAGTTTGTACATTGTATGTGTACTAAGTAAAGTGTGCTAAATAAAATTCTGTGAAGATTCACAATTGCTTGTCCTCATACTTGTGTACCAGACAGACTTATAGAGATTCATGCAACAAACTGCTGGTATACCAAATAAACACATAGTATATAAATATAACAAACTCAACTGAACAAGAACAAAATTTGATGAGTACTAAAGTTTAAACAGTACTATTCAGTATCTATTTAACTAAAGCCTCCCACTATGAGTTACAATACATTCACAACTTAAACAGGATTCATGCAGGAAGTATGCATTCAAGTAACTAAATAATAATGTTAAATGTTTATGATATTTGCTTGATTACATCAAATGACAGCTCCAATCAATTATCCATAATCGAATAGGCATACCATACGATACTTGTCTGGAGATGTATTCACAGTACACCAATATTAAAAACAGAAATTAAATGGCACATTTCTTGAAAATATTAATATAAATGACAAGGCAAATTGAATATCCTGAATTCCTAATATAGAGTCTATCACATGTAGGTATGTGAGTTATAGTTATTCTTCCTGATGATGTAGAATTTGGTTCAGAACAGATATTTTGCTGAGGTTCTGACAGCAAATTCTGGACCCAACATGGGTGTTCCACATGCATGGAACATGTGTATCTTTAATATGCAGAGGTGGCAGAAAAATTTGTTCTTCAGATCTAATTACGACAATCAAAGAAGTACCTGTGCCAGCAATACTAGACAACAGAACACAAGGAACGGAGACAATTTACACATTTAAAAGTGAATAACTTGAAAACAAGCTAATTTCATTTTTACATGCCATGAACTATGGTGCCAATTTTTCCAACCAAACTGTCAATTGAATGTCCAATAGATCAGACCTAAGTCAGTTTTTTCTGACAGATCTTAACTCCCTCCTAGTACGGAGCTCTGACATTGATTGACAGAGCCAGTCAGGATACCAACAGATCAATACAATTTCCCACTACAATGCCTCTCCTCTATTTATGGCTATTCCAATTTTGTCAGATATCAAATAAACCTTCCATCAATGTTGGAATTCTTTATTCATATAATTTTAAAAAAAAAATCAAAAAAAATCTAATAATGATGTTTTCAGTAGTACATTAACTGTAGAAATGCTTCACCATCCAATTGCATTAAAAAGAGTTTAATTAAATTTCCCAAAATTAGTGTATTAATTCTTCCCATTTTCCATGTTTTTAATATCACCTAAATGTTTGCCTTGGTTTGGATACAATGAACATAAAAGATAATTGTGATAATTGATAGTTAATCTGTGTTGTATTAAATCATGATTTCCTAATGAAATTAAAACCATGTCTGTTTTCTCATCCACTGTGTTTTCATTTCAACAAGCTCTCCCTGATCAGACATCAATCAAACAAGCTCTCATTGATCAGTCATCAATCAAACAAGCTCTCGTTGATCAGTCATCAATCAAACAAGCTCTCCTTGATTAGTCATCAATTAAACAAGTTCTCGTTGATTAGTCATCAATTAAACAAGCTCTCCTTGATTAGTCATCAAACAAACAAGTTATCATTGATCAGTTATCAATCAAACAAGTTATCATTGATCAGTTATCAATTAAACAAGCTCTCATTGATCAGTCATCAAACAAACAAGCTCTCGTTGAGTCATCAGTCAAACAAGCTCTCCTTGATTAGTCATCAATCAAACAAGCTCTCCTTGATCAGTCATTAATTCAACAAGCTCTCCTTGACCAGTCATCAATCAAACAAGCTCTCCCTGATCAGACATCAATTAAACAAGCTCTCCTTGATTAGTCATCAAACAAACAAGTTATCATTGATCAGTTATCAATCAAACAAGTTCTCATTGATCAGTCATCAATCAAACAAGCTCTCCTTGATTAGTCATCAAACAAACAAGCTCTCCTTGATTAGTCATCAATCAAACAAGCTCTCCTTGATCAGTCATCAATCAAACAAGCTCTCCCTGATCAGACATCAATTAAACAAGCTCTCCTTGATTAGTCATCAATCAAACAAGCTCTCGTTGATCAGTCATCAATCAAACAAGCTCTCCTTGATCAGTCATCCATCAAACAAGCTCTCGCTGATCAGTCATCAAGCAAACAAGCTCTCCTTGATTAGTCATCAATTAAACAAGCTCTCCCTGTTCAGACATCAATTAAACAAGCTCTCCTTGATTAGTCATCAATCAAACAAGCTCTCCTTGATTATTCATCAAACAAACAAGCTCTCCTTGATTAGTCATCAATCAAACAAGCTCTCGTTGATCAGTCATCAATCAAACAAGCTCTCCTTGATTAGTCAAACAAGCTCTCCTTGATTAGTCATCAATCAAACAAGCTCTCGTTGATCAGTCATCAATTAAACAAGCTCTCCTTGATTAGTCATCAATCAAACAAGCTCTCCTTGATCAGTCATCAATTAAACAAGCTCTCGTTGATCAGTCATCAATCAAACAAGCTCTCCTTGATCAGTCATCAATCAAACAAGCTCTCATTGATCAGTCATCAATCAAACAAGCTCTCCTTGATCAGTCATTAATTCAATAAGCGCTCGGAGGTAAAGGTTGATGATGTCAATTCACAGACAATTAAATGAAACCCTTATTTTCATAATAATCTTTATCATTTGGGAAAGGAACACTACTAATCTGCAGTTATCAGTGACAAATAGTAGATCTATTACCTAATATCACCTATCCTAGGGTGTATGTAATACTTATTATAATAAGTAATTGGTAGAGGAAATCCTGATTTATACGATATAGAGGGTCAATTTCTACACTCACAGAATCACCAACTATTAACTTGCTGCTTGATCTTATTTTACATCTCAATAATTTAACAGCTCAATGAAAACATAATGCGAGAGAAAAATCAAAACAGAACCACTCAAAATTATGACTGCATTAAATCTGGCACACATACAGAAAACATTCCGACACATAAAACATCTATAAAACAAGAACAAGAGGCCCATTGGCCTTAACAGTCACCTGAGTTATGTAAAAACTGATGTTATCGATGTTGCCAAATGAAAAAGAAATCCTTTTGTAACAAAGGTAACTTGAACTACATGTAATGCAAAAGTAGTGTGAAAGACCTGGGTAGTATATGTACTATGTACAAATACTGGTTCTGTCAGTCAGCTGAATTATGGTTACGCACCTAAGACCCTTCCATCTATGAAGAGTATTTGATTCTACCATATCTAGATCTTGAGAAGAACATTTTTTTGAATTTTAGTTAATTTGACACTTTTTGGCCCCTCAGGCTTCTGGGGGCTGGGGACCATATAATTCACAATTTTTGTTGACCTTTGGCCATGGAAGGTTTCTGCAAAATTTCATTGAAATTGGTTCAGAGTTTTTGGAGGGAAATGTCGAAAATGTAAATTGTTTACGGACGCACAACATACGACAAAAGGCGATCGCAATAGGTCACTTGAGACTTTGTCTCAGGTGACCTAACAAGAGATCCCAGAGGGATCTTGGCGCCCACCTTTGTACCATCTTCATTAGTTCTTTGTCAGTTCGATCTTTTCTCTTCTTTCCTCTAATCTGTTTGATCGAGTCATGTTAACAGTAAATGCACCTTGAGGTAACTTTTGATCTAAACTTAATACTGATGTGTATGAAAGCCAACCTTCAAAGTGAGTTTGTCATTTCACATATTTACTAGTACAGTACTTAATGTGAAAGAAATAGAATCGATCATTGCAATATGAGAAAGATCTGTTTAGTTCTTCTTTTAATCCATTTTGTTTTTATGATCAGTCTCAAAATATAACATACACAACGAG